GCAAACTGAGTTCTTAGATTGAATTTATAATTTTATCATCTCAAGCATCTAGTAGAGATAACATAAATTTATTTGACAACGCTGATTCATTTTATTTTTTAAAAAATATTTACTTAGTTATTTGGCTGCTTAGTTATTTATTTAGTTATTTGGCTTAGTTATAGGTCTTAGTTGTGGCATGCGGGATCTCTATTTGTTGTATGTGGAATCTAGTTCCTAGATCAGGGACTGACCTTGGGCACCTGGCATTGGAGCTTAGAATTTTAGCCACTGGACCATCAGGAAAATCTCAAACCAGTCTTAACTTATACAACTGCTTCTATTTTCTTTAAGCCAATTAAATAGAGCACAAGTTTTTAGGAATACTATCCAGAGGGAAAGAAATATCACACATATATAACATGCAAACATAGATATACATAGACATATAGACAGATGCAAACACAGATCTCAGAGCTTTCATTTCAACATTTTAGCCACATTTCAGGTATAGTAGTACAAAACTCAATAGCTTATAAAAGAATAGTTGGATCTAAATGGTGTTTCTGGCAGATGAAACAAGTTTTCCCCTCAGATGGCTGAAGCCTTTTACCAAGATTTGTGGAAAAGACTGTTAAGATTTTTACTTGACTTTAAAAGATAATCTTATGGAGGCTATCAACAAAATCTGGATCAAGGGAGCTTATGAAAATATGAAATAACTGTTTTTCAAATCTCTCTTTTTCCAGTCTCATCCTTGCTTTAGGCAACAATTTTCACTTTGCATGTTTACATTTCAAAGATATGGTAAGGTCAGTATTTCCAAAGTACTGAGAAAGAATTGTAGGGTTTAATCTAAGAAGGAACTCAGGGGCATATTTGCCTGTTATCAGAAATCTAAGCCTATTCCTATAACATTTTTCTTTTCTTTTATAATAGGATAGTTCAATGATATTTTAAGTTTCTTTTTATTTTTTTGGTAGTGCAATCTGGACTATAGGACAGTCTGGACATGGTGGGATCCTCCTACAGAGTAACAGACAATACATCAAGACTTCCTGTGCATTTTCTGAACCTTTGTCAAAACTGTTTCCTGGCTATCAATATTTATGTAAATTTTAAACCTCCTTGAGTGATGTCTGCAGGTTTTGACATTTATTCTCTGATCTTCTTCTTTTAATCTTGTTAACAAAGTGTTTTGTTTTGCTTTGTTTTCTCAAGTAACCAAGGTATTTTTCTGTAGCTATCTTTGTCTTTCTTTTTCTTTTCTTTTCAATAGGATCTTACCATAGGTAAAAATAGGACCTTTGTTTAAAATGCAAGCTCTCTTAAAAATCTTTTTTAGATATAAAAATTCAGATCTTCAATATACCTCTTTCAACTGTGACTCCAAACCAGTGAGTCTTTTTATGGCTTAAAACCAATATTAAGGTGGCTCAGATGGTAGAGCGTGTGCAATGCGGGAGACCCGGATTTGATCCCTGGGTTGGGAAGATCCCCTGGAGAAGGAAATGGCAACCCACTCCAGTACTCTTGCCTGGAAAATTCCATGGATGAAGGAGCCTCACAGGCTACAGTCCATGGGGTTGCAAAGAGTCGGACACAACTGAGCGACTTCACTATGGACACGAAAGGTGTCCTCTAAGAAATGTAGCCCTCTCAAGATGCAGAACCTCTCCAGAGAAAGCCTAAGAAACAAAGACCTTCCTTGTCTCAGGTGACAAAGAAAGCTCTATCTTCGACAAAGTGGGACACCTTAAATAACTGAGCTCCTAACTTATGCTACCAGGAAGTGATACGGGGATGAAAGTTCTTCCTTCCCAAACCAGACAATGAAAGCAGAGGCTGTAAAGTCCCCTTATGAACTGCGATCCTTTATTAAGACAAACTCCCCCGAGAGCCAGCATGTTTGGACAAAGAGAATGTTGCCTGTCACTTCATGTCTTCAGCTCCTAGCTGGCTGGCTAGCTGCTGATGCAAGCCTGACAGACAACCTGTGTTCCCAAGCAGCAGAAAACAGAGGGAATATTCTCACTGGTTACAAAGCCAAATTCTCAGAATATAAAGCAAAACAATTGGAGATTCTCATCTGATGATTTTTCATCATTATGACAAATGAAAGGGACAAAGGAAAACATGACTCCTTCTGGAAGGCTAAGGATCAATAACCATAGGTGTTGATTACCAAAACCATGTTCGCAAGAGTCACAATTCAAGATCTATTTTCACGAATGTTTTTCTCCTGCCACTGTGAATTTGGAAAGGGCGGGACAAGGAGAAATATTTATCCTCCTCTGTTGACGGTGCACTACAGGCAGAGAGCTGGGAGACCAACATGGTGAGAATTCTTATATTCTACTGGTCTGTTGTCAGCTATCCCATATCTCAACTTCAGTCTCCAGGAAGAGTGGAGTGTTCTGGGTTTTCACTGTCCCATCAACAATACTAGAAACTATACAGGAGGAAACACGTGTTTCGTTTCACTGTTTTCAGTTTTTGGCTGGAGCTCTGTAATAAAATACAGATTAGCAAGAGAAAAGGAAACAAGGATACTAACATGTACATCTCATGTATACTTTTGAGAAATGCAGGGATAAATAACTCAAAGAGGTGGCTGGAATTTGGACTTACAGACCATCTTAACCAAAGAACAGTATATAATTAGAGGAACAACTACAGAGAGGAAAAGAGTAGTAGGCTTCCAAGTGTATCAAATTTTGGGGTGATAAATACATTTGAAACTAATGGCAGATAGTAACTAGTACTAATGTTTGTTCTGTAGAGTCCTCTGGGGCTGTATTGGGGCTGATAAGTGTTCAGGGTTGTTGGTGACTAATTTATGCACAAATTTACGTCCTGCTTTCTGGAAAATAAGGGGAGGACAGAGAACTTGTCTTTGATCTGCTTTTTCTCCATTGCCTTCAGCTCAAAATAACATTTATGTCAAAGTGGAAGATTTTGGAGTGACATATTCTGTTAATCTTCTGTAGGTTTTACTATAAAATTCCCTTGCTTTACAAAGACCCTTTATGCTCTAATATGGAAATGTGAAGTAAGGCTTTGTTAGAAAGGAGTTAGGAATGTTGTTCACATGAGGCTTACTAATCATAGTAAAACACTGATTTATAAATTAAGAATTTACAATAGATACCAAACGAGTGAGTATAGGAATCTGTGACCAGCATGGTGCTGTACACTCTACCAATCAGAACAACAGGCAGTGAGTCATGTTCTTTGCGAAAAGTGTATATAAAATAATTTTAAGTGAAAAAGATAAAGACAATATGCAAAACACCTCAATGTAAATGAATGGGAGCTCATTTTCAGTTGAGTAAAATGTTCATTCAGGATTTTTTCTTTATACTTGTTCAACTTCATAATAAAATAAGAGGAAGTTCCTCTTTTGGCAATAATGCTAACTCCAGCTCTTCCTGAGAAATGTCTTTAAGCAATGTCAGTTCATTATTTTCTGCAGACTAATTCTTATGATATCAGAATATATCTTTTCAAGGATAAGAAGGAAAACTTTACAAGTGTGTGGACTTTCCGTTTTCCACGTGTCTCAGAGGGTGGAGCGACCAAACCGGTGAGATAAGAGGGGAGTGAAAAGATGTTAAATAGCAAGCCCAGCTCACCCTGGTCAGTCTGGACGTCTGGCTTCTCAGACAACATGAAGGCTCTCATTATCCTGGGGCTTCTCCTCCTTTCTGTCGCTGTCCAAGGCAAGGTCTTTGAGAGATGTGAGCTTGCCAGAACTCTGAAGGAACTTGGACTGGATGGCTATAAGGGAGTCAGCCTGGCGAACTGTAAGTTAACTCTTCTTTCTCCTTCCAAATAGTTAGCCAGGTGTGGAACTAACGGAGGATGAATAATAAGCAAGGGACTTTGAGTGAATGGGCTTTTTCTTTGTTGGAGGGTTAGTACACTTACCATGGTTAAAAACATCAACTTGCTCCTTTAGAATCAGATGTACCAGGTGAAGGATTGAAGAATGGGAGGGTCAAATTCTATATCATTCTAAACATGCCAGATCCCCCTGTACTCTTCCAGTGCTGCTAAACTTGCCAGCTGGCACTTGTAGGCTGATGATAAAATGTTTCAACACCTGGGATATCTCTTTCAAGCCCTTGGTGTCTGACTCTAGCCATTTTCAGTCTGCAAGCCTGAGTAAGGTAGTATTTTTCTCATTTTTATACTTCTACCAAGATGCTGGGCTTTTAACAACAATGCTTTTCCAAAAAATTACATTGAATTCATAAAACAAGAACAAGGACAGTAGGAACCTATTTCCCTTCAGTCAATATCCATATAAGGATCCCTGAAATGCAGCAAGAAATGACATTTTATTATTTTCACTCAAGTTGATTATTTTTCATTTTCCTCCTCAGAATTCAAGATGTGTATTAAGTAAAAATTACTCTGTATTTTAGTCCATATTTGTCAAGGTCACCACTGTATTTTTCAAGTTGAACTCAGACATCTCCCTTCTATAACTATTTTTGAAAGAATAAGCAAATGGCTAGATGGATAGATGCATGATATAGTCTTTCCTATTTTATGATTCTTGTTGTCCAGATTCTAATTTGATACCCAAATCCACCTTTAGATATGCTAAAATATTTTCTTTCTCTCAGAAACATATTTCTACTAATAAAAAGCATTATTCCAATAGTATGTACATCTACTGATAAAGACCAAACCCATTCAACAACCCTGTTGATTTTTCTGTTCTATGGTCAATCTTACCTGAGGGATGGGAGCAGGGGAAGAGCTATTTTAATATTTTTAAAAATGTGTTATCTTGTTTCGTTAGTATTACCAAATGACTCGCTAATAGAAGAAATCTCTTAAGGACCCTTTAACATGAAAGTGTTAAAATATTTTGCAAGGAAACTATTTCTTTATGTTAATACTTATAAAAGTCATTAGTAAAATATTATTATTTAAAAGAACTGATTCGTCTATGAAGTATAAGTCATGTTCTGTTGTTGTTTTTCAACTAAAAATACATTTTTTTTCAGGGTTGTGTTTGACCAGATGGGAAAGCGATTATAACACAAAAGCTACAAACTACAATCCTAGCAGTGAAAGCACTGACTATGGGATATTTCAGATCAACAGCAAATGGTGGTGTGATGATGGCAAAACCCCCAACGCAGTTGATGGCTGCCATGTGGCCTGCAGCGGTAAGACAAGATGATATTGAAGGATGGCTCAGGCCCCATCTGGTTTTACCTGTAAGATCAGAGATTCAGTACAAATGAAAATGTCTTGAAGAGCTCATCAGGGACCTAGAAAAGCTCCATATTTAATTTCTAGAAGCTCTCTATTATCCTCCTCCTAATTTCTTAAGTAAGAAATTAAAGAGCTGATATGCTAAAAGTTTACCTGTTTGCTAAATTCAAGAGTTTCTGGGGGGAAGGAGCCAAGATGGCGGAGGAATAGGACAGGGAGACCACTTTCTCTCCTACAAATTCATCGAAAGAACATTTGAATGCTGAGCAAATTGCACAAACAACTTCTGATCGCTAGCAGAGGACATCAGGCGCCCAGAAAAGCAGCCCATTGTCTTCGAAGGGAGGTAGGACAAAATATAAAAGATAAAAAGGGAGTCAAAAGAGCTACGGACGGAGACCCGTCCCGGGAAGGGAGTCTTAATAGAGGAAGTTTCCAATCACCAGGAAACCCTCGCACTGGCGGGACTGGGGGAAGTTTTCAGCAATCTAACTGGGAGGAAAAATTAAACAAGGCCCACAGATTACGTGCCTAAAAGCAACTCCCAGCAGAAAAGTACCCCAGACGCCCGTACCCGGCAGCAACAAGCGGGGGCGGGACGGAGAGGAGCGGGCGGCATTGCTTAGGGCCCGCACACACTGCCGGCGGTTCGCAAAACAAAGGGACTGAGAAAGTCCAGAGAAGAGCCGGCCCATCCCGGCTGGAGGTTGGAGGCAGGGGGCAGGGGAAAAGGGCAAACTCAGCCCCTGAGAAGCCACCCCCTCCCACACTGCAAACAGGCCCCCGGTTCCTATCTAAAGACTTCCTGAGACCCGACTGGCGGCGCGTGCGCTGGGGCCGCGGAGGGAAAAGGCGCGCCGTACCCGGGGAGATTGCGCCCAGGCCTCTGGCTGCCTGAGCTGCCCGCCGCGGAGGGAAAAGGCGCGCCACATCCGGGGAGAGTGTGCCCAAGCCTCTGGCTGCCTGGGCCGCTCGCCGCGGAGGGAAAAGGCGTGCTGCACCCGGGGAGAGTGCGCCCAAGCCTCTGGCTGCCTGAAACGCTCAGGCCGGGGAAGGCACAAAACGCAGGCGCAACTGAATCTGCGTTTTAGTGGAGTACCCGAAAACTGGAACCGCACTCAACGCAGGGCCCGCTCCATATAGAGCAGCCGGGAGCCTGAGCAGTGTAGACGGCGAAAGCACTGACACCCGTGAGCGGGGCAAACCCAGTGTGGCCAGAACACGGTGAGTGCTATCCACACAGAGCGGTATCTGTCTGCAGCGCCCCGCCCTCCCCGTAGCAGGACTGAACTGAACTAGAGAATCTAAATAAGAGATCACCTCCGCCCGCCTGTGTCAGGGCGGAAATTAGACACCAAAGAGACGGCAAACAGAAGCCAAATAAACAAAGGGAACCGCTTCAGAAAGGACCGGTGCAACAGATTAAAATCCCTGAAGGTAACACCGACTACACCGGAAGGGGCCTACAGATATCGAGAGGTGTAAGCTGGAAAGAGGAGCTATCTGAAATTGAACTGAACCTACGCTGACTGCAACAACTCCAGAGAAATTCCTAGATATATAGATATATATATATTTTTTAATTTAAAAAAAAATTTTTTTTTCTATCCTTTTTTTAATTTTTTAAATTTTTTCTCTTTTATTTTCTTTTAAAATTGCCTATTACTCCCCCATTACTCCTCAACTTTCATTTTCATATATTTTTACGATTTTTTTAATTAGGGAAAAAAAAATTTTGTTTTTCTTTTTCTTGTTTTTCTCTCCTATTTCCTTTTAAAGTCCTCTAATACTCCTCTATTATTCCTTAATTTTCATTTTCATTTCACTATAACCTTGCCAAAAAAAAAAAAAAAAAGAGAGAGAGAAAAACCCTATTTTTAAATCAAACTTCATATACATTTCTAAATTTTTTTGTGCGTTTTTGTTTTTAAATATTGTATTTCAAAGAGTCTAACCTCTACACTGGATTTTTAATCTTTGTTTTTCAGTAGTATGTGATATAAATTTTGGTCATTTAAGAATCCAATATTCAGTTCCCATTTCTATTCAGGAGTGTGGTGATTACTCTCCCACTTTTGACTCTCTGTTTTCTACCTCGGAACACCTCTATTTCCTCCTTTCCCCTTCTCTTCCCAATCCAACTCTGTGAATCTTTGTGGGTGTCTGGGCTACGGAGAACACTTTGGGAACAGATAACTGCGTAGATCTGTCTCTCTCCTCTTGAGTCCCCTTTTTCTCCTCCTGATCACCTCTATCTCCTTCCTCCCTCTCCTATTCTTCATGTAACTCTGTGAACCTCTCTGGTTGTCTCTCACGGTGGAGAATCTTTTCACCATTAACCTAGAAGTTTTATTATCAGTGCTGTATAGTTGGAGAAGTCTTGAGACTATTGGAAGAACAAAACTGAAATCCAGAGGCAGGAGACTTAAGCCCAAATCTTGAGAAAACCAGAAAACTCCTGACTACACGGAACATTAAGGAATAAGAGACCATCCAAAAGCTTCCATACCTACACCAAAACCAACCACCACCCAAGAGCCAATAAGCTCCAGTACAAGACATACCACGCAAATTCTTTAGCAACGCAGAAACATAGACCTGAGTGTCAACATACAGGCTCTCCAAAGTCACACCTAACACATAGATCCATCGCAAAACTCATTACTGGACACTCCATTGCACTCCAGAGAGAAGAAATCCAATTCCACGCACCAGAACGCTGACACAAGCTTCCCTAACCAGGAAACCTTGACAAACCGATCGTCCAACCCCACCCACTGGGTGAAACCTCCACAATAAAAAGGAACCTCAGACCACAAGAATACAGAAAGCCCACTCCAGACACAGCAATCTAAACAAGATGAAAAGGCAGAGAAATACCCAACAGCTAAAGGAACATGAAAAAAGCCCACCAAGTCAAACAAAAGAGGAGGAAATAGGGAATCTACCTGAAAAAGAATTTAGAATAATGATAATAAAAATGATCCAAAATCTTGAAAACAAAATGGAGTTACAAATAAATAGCCTGGAGACAAAGATTGAGAAGATGCAAGAAATGTTTAACAAGGACCTAGAAGAAATAAAAAAAAGTCAATTAAAAATTAATAATGAAATAAATGAGATCAAAAACACTCTGGAGGGAACCATGAGTAGAATAACAGAGACAGAAGATAGGATAAGTGAGTTAGAAGATAAAATGGTGGAAATAAATGAAGCAGAGAGGAAAAAAGAAAAAAGAATCAAAAGAAATGAGGACAACCTCAGGGACCTCTGGGACAATGTGAAACGCCCCAACATTCGAATCATAGGAGTCCCAGAAGAAGAAGACAAAAAGAAAGGCCATGAGAAGATACTCGAGGAGATAATAGCTGAAAACTTCCCTAAAATGGGGAAGGGAATAGCCACCCAAGTCCAAGAAACCCAGAGAGTCCCAAACAGGATAAACCCAAGGCGAAACACCCCAAGACACATATTAATCAAATTAACAAAGATCAAACACAAAGAACAAATATTAAAAGCAGCAAGGGAGAAACAACAAATAACACACAAAGGGATTCCCATAAGGATAACAGCTGATCTATCAATAGAAACCCTTCAGGCCAGAAGGGAATGGCAGGACATACTTAGAGTAATGAAAGAGAATAACCTACAACCTAGATTACTCTACCCAGCAAGGATCTCATTCAGATATGAAGGAGAACTCAAAAGCTTTACAGACAAGCAAAAGCTGAGAGAATTCAGCACCACCAAACCAGCTCTTCAACAAATATTAAAGGATCTTCTCTAGACAGGAAACACAGAAAGGTGGTATAAACGTGAACCCCAAACAACAAAATAAATGGCAACGGGACCATACCTATCAATAATTACCTTAAATGTAAATGGGTTGAATGCCCCAACCAAAAGACAAAGGCTGGCTGAATGGATACAAAAGCAAGACCCCTATATATGCTGTCTACAAGAGACCCACCTCAAAGCAAGGGACACATACAGACTAAAAGTGAAGGGCTGGAAAAAAATATTCCACGCAAACGGAGACCAGAAGAAAGCAGGAGTCGCAATACTCATATCAGATAAAATAGACTTTCAAATAAAGACTGTGAAAAGAGACAAAGATGGACACTACATAATGATCAAAGGATCAATCCAAGAAGAAGATATAACAATTATAAATATATATGCACCCAACATAGGAGCACCGCAATATGTAAGGCAAACGTTAACGAGTATGAAAGAGGAAATTAATAGTAACACAATAATAGTAGGAGACTTTAATACCCCACTCACAACTATGGATAGATCAACTAAACAGAAAATGAACAAGGAAGCACAAACTTTAAAGGACACAATGGACCAGCTAGACCTAATTGACATCTATAGGACGTTTCACCCCAAAACAATCAACTTCACCTTTTTCTCAAGTGCACACGGAACCTTCTCCAGAATAGACCACATCCTGGGCCATAAATCTAGTCTTGGTAAATTCAAAAAGATTGAAATCATTCCAGTCATCTTTTCTGACCACAGTGCAGTAGGATTAGATCTTAATTACAGAAAAAAAATTATTAAAAATTCAAACATATGGAGGGTAAACAACACGCTTCTGAATAACCAACAAATCATAGAAGAAATCAAAAAAGAAATCAAAATATGCATAGAAATGAATGAAAATGAAAACACAACAACCCAAAACCTATGGGACACTGTAAAGGCAGTGCTAAGGGGAAGATTGATAGCATTACAGGCCTACCTCAAGAAACAAGAAAAAAGTCAAATAAATAACCTAACTCTACACCTAAAGCAACTAGAGGAGGAAGAAATGAAGAACCCCAGGGTTAGTAGAAGGAAAGAAATCTTAAAAATCAGGGCAGAAATAAATGCAAAAGAAACTAAAGAGATCATAGCAAAAATTAACAAAGCTAAAAGCTGGTTTTTTGAAAAAATAAACAAA